GACAAGTGTCGCCTCAGATGGTCGCCAGCCCTTCATTGTACCGCTCCAAGAGACAACGCAACGCTATCGTCAGATGAAAGGAATGAACCCAGGACTTGGAAACCTGTACCGATTTTTTCATAGTTTGTCTATTTGGAGAAGGATTCGATCGTAAGGTTCGTCGGGTGGAGGAAGGAGTGGAAATAGTACAGCCAGTCAAAGGGATGGCGTGAACCTTAAGGGTGAAGGACGATGCGCGTTCTGCAACGTAGAAAGAGAAGGCATACCCAGCGTCTAGGGACATGGTCGTACCTGCGCCGCTAGCGCTGCTGCACACTCACACTCTCGCCGTCTGACTCTGGCCGTTTAGGCGAAAAGCGTTGGTGTTAAAGAGGGCGGCTGCAATGAGAGTCGCATCAAGAGGCAAAGTGTGTTTCGTCTCGTGGGTTCTGGGCCTTTCTCATGGTTTTTCTTCACCCTGCACCACTAACCATCTCTAATTTGTTTTTTATGAGCTGCTTTTTTATCGTGAACTGCGCCTTTAGGGCACATTACGCGACTACCTACATTTAAACATGCACACATACAGACATGCAAACCGACACCAACTTATATGGGAGGAGAGACGGGCTGCTGCCAAGTAGTGGCTGAAATCTTTGTAGGACCGATTGAAAGGTGTTAGCCATTTAGCTGTATAATACATGAATGTATGGAAGTCCTTTGAGGTTGTCCTTTGACATTTTGTCATTTTTGAAAAAGCACCTTGATTTTTATGAATTCTAGAAATGGCGATGAGTGGTACAGACTTCGTTCATCAGTTCAACAGGTGATGATGCGACCACAGGCGGTACAGAAGTGAGTCACCATCAGAATAGTTATTAATAATATAAATAAATAAATAAATGAAAATAATAACTAAACAGTTCTAAAGAAATAGTTTCGATTGGTTTGACTATTATTTCTTCATTCCGGATACCTACCGTATACCAATGAAGTGGCAAACGCGCTGGTGGATCATGTGCGAAAAGAGAGCGAGAAAAGCGCAAATGGTGAGGTGGACGTGCGGAAAATCGCGGGAAGGTATTATTGATCAAATTTTCTGATCAGCGAAATAATCAATAGTTACTGAAATTTACCAATTTTCTCTAGATGGGCACTGGAGTCGTCGGCTTTGACGGTATTTGAGAAGCGAATTGGTGCGCTAGCTGATCGAATTGAATGGGCAGATGAATTGGTCAACTTGAACAAATCGATATTTCGATTGTCTGCAGTGTGAGGACAGAGAAGCATAGTGAACTCTCATCACCTGGACTCTACAACTAGCGTAATTGTGACCAATTGTAGGCTGAAATTCGCCTTTCCCCTCTATCAGTACTTCTCCACCCCAAAATGGAAGAAAATGGTGGAATTGGAGGACAAGTTCTATAGGTACACGCCTTTTCCTATTGGAAGTTTTCTTAATACCAGATATCGATTTTAAGGGAAGCTGATTTATTGATTGATGAAGCGATCGATAAGCTGCATGGGTCAACTCAATCAGAGGACGAAATGAAGTTTGCCAGCCTGCTGATTAATCGTAAAGAGCTCAATGTGAAAGATGTGAAGATCATTTTGTTGTCGATGTTCTCTGATGGACTGAGTACGGTACGTTTTGAAAAATATGCAATTAGTAGGTGGAACGCCGCAGGGCGTTAGTTTCTCATTTGAAAAATTATCTGTTACAAAAAATCCACGCTTATACCATAGGGCGGAAGTGGTGTAGTGGCAAGTGGCACGCTTACCACGCGAGCGGTCCGGGGATCAAATCCTGGGTCGTGAGTCGCCCGGGCCAACCAAGCCTTCCATCCCTCCGGGGTCGGTTAATTGGTACCAGACTTGTCTGGAGGATAAAAACACTGACTTGTACATCGGCTGGCCCCCGCAAGTCATTGTATAGGCCACATCGCATTCAAACGCCACTACGAATGTACAAATGGAAGTAGAATGCGTGCCGCATCCCAAAAAGGGATTGATCAACGGCAAATGCTTTATCCTTTATCCTTTATCTATTGTAAGCAGCCAAAAAGGTAATTTGTGCTCAGTCTGCAAGATTTCTGCGTATAATAGCATGCCAAGAAGCCAGCAGCCATGCTACGCGTCACCCCCCCCCGAGCGCCTCCTGTTTTATCCCTTTTGCAGGCGAACTATATTGTCCGTGACGGCGAAAAAACTCCGACTACCGGAACGAAATTGAAATCGACCACATGACCTCGCCCCACCTGTCTTCACAAAATCCCACCCAATCAACAAAACACCGATACATCTAGCTCACATATTACTACACTCACCAGACGCCATAGAAACAAATAAAATATTTGCACATACAATGAACACAATAAAAGCCGCACTCACAGCCACTCTCGAGTATTTCACGACGTCGCCCACCGCGCAACCCGCGCGTGAGCATAAACCTTGAAACTAACACATACCAGTCCGCTGCGCTATCTCATATGTATTATTCCCAGATGCCTAACATCACCACGTACAGAACAATTCAATAGATAGGTTCCTTCCAACTGATTGCGGAGTACAAGTGAAGCTGAACTTGAGATGTATCTTTCTCATAGAACAATAAACGAAAACAATCCGAATACAGGGGTAAAAAAAAGTGCGCTTTGCTCTACCTAATGCCATTTATTCAGTACTTGATTCTAGACCGCTCCTATGCTCGTCTACAATCTGTTTAATATCGCCACGCATCCAGATATTCAATCTGAGCTTCGCGACGAAGTGAACACCGCTGTTGGGCGAGACAAAGGTAAGGCAAAAACACCAGGAACTTCTCGTTCCACGGAAGATAGCGAAATAAGAGGTGTTCCCTCAAGTTCTGGAATTTTGTTTGAGATTTTCATAGCCGGAAGACTAGAAAACTGCAATCCATAAACAGGTTTGGAACCTTAAGACGGTTTTGAGGCAGAACTAGGTAGTTTACGGGAGCGGATGTTAGCAGAATAGCTGCGAAATAAGTACCCACAGCAGCAGGAAGGTGGTCTCATGGCACGTTCCGCCCGATACAGTCCGCGTAAAGGTAAAACATTTCGAAGGACGCTCTGGGAATTGTTTGACGGCGCGTGTAACAAGGCTAAGGTAGGATAAGGCTTGCCGGTGAACTTCCGTTGAATCGTCATTAGCGTCTGTCCCGCTTGTAGGCGGGGTCTGCTTGTTTCATTGAACCATCTCGACCGAAAATCCACGTAGTACTTGTCAGCTGAACCTTTCGCTCCCACAAAAGATATATCAGCCAGCCGACATCCCAGGGTCAACACCTCTAAGTCAAAGGTCAACGAGAAATGTTATATTTGTGATTTTCGAAGACAATTTTATCAAACCAATTGAAGGTTGGGCAGTGGTTGGCACGCAGACTCTGTCCTGGGGATAAGGAACGTGCTGGTCCCGATATTAACTCATTAGTTAACGCTGCTTTCTTCTCTGCAGGGCCGAGCTGGTGAGATAGCTCATGGTATGGTCGATTAAAATCCTCTAGTCCGGTCTATGGTCCGCTAGAAATTGAATTAGGCTTAGTTGGCCGTCATGGTTCATTGCTTATGCCCTATCGCTCTAAAAATCGCCGCTGTTCTGAATAGAAGTGAAATGCATGGCAGATCACCCTAAGGGATCGATCAACGCCTGGAACCCTGGTTTTTTTTTATCCGTACAGTATCGTATCATTTGATGTACTGCACTAAAAAAACCATCAGAAAATATCAAAGCAATAATCCAAGCAGGTTCTTATTTGTCTTTGTTTCTAACTTACAACTGAAATGCCGAGGTTATAAGAAGAGAGAAGTGAGAATAGTCCCAGCAGGGTTTTTACCTTTTACCTTCGAAAATGGTGTGGAACGATGCGCTAGCCCTAGTCAAGAACATAAGAAGTGTGACTGAACAAAAACTCACCTTGGAAAGCCGCTAGAAAGGGAGCTGAACGGCTTCGAAGTGGGCGTGGTTGCTCAGTCGGCTGCAATCCCCTCGCCAACTTCAACCACGCCCACTTCGAAGCTTCAATGATTATGGGATGTGTAAATACACACACTACCCATCATTATAATATTTTTCCATGTTTTTTTCTCTATGTAATGAGTTTGGTTAGTGATTGACGCTGTTTGTTTAGAGATCAGTCCCGCCGTGCTCTCTCGGTTACCATTCCTTCGTGCATGTATCAAGGAAACGTTTCGAATGTTTCCGATTGGCACGGAAATTTCACGGATTCCACAAAAGGATCTCATCCTCAGCGGCTATCATGTTCCAGCTGGAACGCCAGTCGATATCAACACAAATGTACTGATGAGGTAAAACATGGCCTATTGATTGGTATTGATTAATCAACATATTGCACACAACACACACACGCAGTCGAAGCATGGTGGAGGTCCTGGTAACTCCGAGAAACCTTCAAAATTATTACGATTTAGGGGTATGATTTTACTGCTGACTAAAAGAGACCTGAGTAATTTAAAAATAAAATATATAATATACTATAATATATATAAATTTTTGCACTTAGCAGATTCTCACAGTGCAACAGTTAAAAGAGCTTGGCCTTACGAGAGAACCAGGAGGCAGGAGTGGGGGAGGGTCAGAAGGAAGAGCCACAACAAAACCAGGTCATGAGTAGATCTGTGCTTCAGTTACGGTGTTGGGTGTTGCATTTTGGAGCCACTTATCGCGATATGGGTCGGGGCGATCTGATCCTGGCTATGAGGGCGGTTAGCGAATAAAAACACAAAATAAAACCGGAAATAAACCATGGGCGGAAGGTGGTAGCAGGCAAGTTCCGCAGCGCCGCAGGGTCAATGGGCTTCAGGCGTCGGCAATCGAAATTCGCTAGGCCAACCCATAACCTGCTACATCAGGCTCGCTCCCACAGTCACCGTATTGTACAACGGCCCACATTCGATATGATAATGCAATTTTGTCTTGTGGAGGTCGCCATGCATGGCGCATCCCACAAAAGGCAGGACTGATAAATGCTGAATTCTTATCTTTCATGATTCATCTTTTGTCCTTTGCGTCACTTTACTTATCAGAGATCATCGGCGTTGTTCACCGATCCCCTTACATTCCAACCAAACCGATGGCTTCGTGACGGTCAACGTCAGCAGGACTTCCACCCTTTCGCTTTCCTTCCGTTCGGTTTCGGTCCCCGTATGTGTGCAGGTTTGTTTTAATCAGTTTGCGATCTCTGACGTCGGACCTCGTCCAACAAGCTTTGTAGGCTTGGATTCCTTTTTCTCTTATCACATTCGTCTATTTGAGGGCGACGTTGCTAACAAGATCTACTAGGTTGTGCTTTGCGGATTGTACAGCACTATCGATCGAACATCGGCATGGGGTCGACTTAGAACACTACGAGACACTCCTTTTGCCGAAAGGCTGTTGTGATTTTCGATTTGAGCCCTTGTAGACTTTTGTCTGCTTTTCTTCCTCCTCGAAAAGTTCCTTTCTCTTCCTACCCTCCTTTTCAATTTGCAATAAATATTTATTGCAGAGAGCAGCTTTTGAAATACTGAATTTTTTTCCACGGAACCCACCTGCGGTACACGACAAGGAAAGCCCCTACGCAAGGAGCCAAAATCGCGACATGAGTTAGAAAACCGGAAGGACTGGTACGCGTTGAAGTCCCCGTCGAACATCTGTCACACATGCTGGCGGGAACGCTTTCACTCGGTTCACGGAGTGCTTGACGTTTTTGACCTTTTGACTTATTGTGCTGACATCTCACACTTCTACTGCATCCCATTCCATCGAATGTTTTGTCTCCACTCTCCGAAATTGAACGCTTTGAAAGAATTCTTTCATTGCGTCGCATGATAAGTAGCTGCCCCGAGGCGGACTTGCTTCCATGCCCCGCATTGGACGCCACACGACCTACCTTCGGCTATCCGTAGAATGTGGTTTTCATGGGTTTGTTTCTGTTCGGGAACCGAATTTTGAGGTGCGTGAGACTTTGTATGTTGTCTCTACGTTGATCGCATCTGACATATGCGTGTTGGGAAAGAATGCAGCTTTTTTTTTCGTGAAGGATTCCTTTGAAAAGGAAGCGATTACGATAAGGAATTTTCGCATCGGGGGAGAACCTGCGCCACACGGAGCAATTACTTGGCTGCCAAGGAAGCGATGTGTACGCTTCCCACGGCGAAAGGTGCTGTGGTTGCTGAGCAGGACCCGCAAAGAAGAGGGTTTTGATAACGGCTTTGTCGACGGCTTTTTCTCAGTTTTTTCTCTCCACTGTCGTTCCACTTCGCATCTCTATACTCAGTTTCAATCGCCATAATACCCCTTATTCTGGAGCCCGACTTTTGCCTTTAATGGGAACCCCACTAGATGTTCCTCACGAAATAATATCCTTATTTTCTTAATTTCAGCTCCTTGTTAGGCAGACGCTTTCCCAGAAGGGGTAGAGGACACTAGGTAAAGAATTTGACAATGGCGATGTGCGAGGAACGAGTGGCGATGGAGAGTTGCGGCTGGGCTAGGGTGCAAAGAGTTCAATGGAATGGACCAAGTCCCTGTGCAAAACATGCGTTCGCGTTTCAAATAAACGTTTCCAATAATAAATGCTTTCTGTGGTTGCAAATACCCTGCGTGTTGTGCACCATAATGCACCCTACCCTCTCATTCGAGAAGCGCCGATTTCATCCTTGCATACCCAATACTTAAAACGCGCTTTGTCTGCCTACATTGGAGAGTGGGAATTCAAGATTCATTTCTGTCCACATTCCCGGCAAGGAAAAGCGACTCATAGGAAAAACCTGAAGCTCCACTACTTTTTTCGTACTTTTTTCTTTTCAAAAAAGCTCCAATAATTGTAAGCAAAGAAGGAGGAGAGCACGTGAAACATTCTAGACCGAACTCACAGAAGCAATTTCATGTGTTTGGGATTATTTCATGGTTGTAAACACCCGAAATGATTCCCGGACCCTTCTCCAAATCGGATTTGATTATTATCGCGCTTTCAAAATCAATGTTCATAGTACACCTTCATAAGTGGTGTAGCTTTTGGTACAGATTAAACATTTGGATGACGTGAGCTTGGGAAGTAATTCACCTCCAGTCAGGGTCAATCCTTACTTCAGTAGTCTTTAATTTCTATGTTGCTTCAAGAGTACAAAGAATACAGTCTGCACTATCTCAAACAGACGTTCCCTTGCAGGACTTGTGCCAGATTCTCGGACGGGTCGAGATGATACGACACCCCTTATCTGATCAAATAGCGAAGTGCGCGTAAAATGTTAAAATGGCCGCATCACGCCATTCCCATCGGCAGCAAACAGTAAAGATCGCCCTTACTTCGATCTGTGCTGATTAAATAGTAGTAAAAAACACAAACACACTAGCCAGTGGTAAATTTCGTAGTTGGAGCACAGTCCTCCTTGGATGCGCAAAATTCTTTCCGTTCGGTTAACAAATGCGGAACAATTTGTATGAGATTTGCAAGTTTTGAAGAAGAACCAGGGTTCCTGTACTTCGAAAATCTTGCACCAGATACTCGAACTCGGATGCATTTGGTGGTTTGATTTATCCGTAGGCGATTCGAGCCGGGTTTCAAGCCCGCACCGTCTAGGAGACTTACATTCTCACATGCCTGCGTGTAGCGGAAGTGGTGGTGGTGTAGTGACAAGTGGCGCGCTCACCACGCGAGCGGTCCGGGATCAAATCCTGGGTCGTGAGTCGCCCGGGCCAACCAAGCCTTCCATCCCTCCGGGGTCGGTTAATTGGTACAGACTTGTCTGGGAGGATAAAAACACTGACTTGACATCGGCTGGCCCCCGCAAGTCATTGTATAGGCCACATCGCATTCAAATGCCACTGCGAATGTACAAATGGAAGTAGAATGCGTGCCGCATCCCAAAGGGATTGATCAACGGCAAATGCTTTATCCTTATTTTATCCTTATCTGCGCTTTGGGGCGGGGGTGGGAGGCCATATCACGCAGTGCGAAGCGCAAACAGCTTTGTGGTTCTAAATTCTTGCTATTTCACAGACATGAAAACTGTTATATTTTGCCTTTTCTTGTTGCGAAACGAGTCTAGAGGGAAAGCTGGAAAGCAGTAAACATTTTGAAAGGATCGTGTTTCTCAGAGGCCAAAACATAACAGCGAAGGAGCGGAACAGCATCGCATTATGACAGTTGTATTTCTTCTATGTCAGCGAATATTGTTTTATGTTGTGATGTGTTTATAACCGATAATAATAAATAATAATAAAATATAGGGATTTTGTTCGGTTTGTCAACCCTCAGCAAACGCTTGACTCAAGACTGTTTCGCGTTCCATCCTCTGATGAAAAAGAGCCAGGAAATGGGAGCGGAGTCAATCAACCGTTGGAATCAACGGGGAGTGGGCACCCATTTTGATTTCCTAATAGAAGTAATAGTTTAGGTCTTTGCGTACAGGGAATGCGGTAAGGGAGTTGCGCTTGAGATTCACAGAGGGGGCCTTCACGAGCCCAAAAACGGGACGAAGTTGAGGCTTTTCTGCATTTCTTTTTTCTCGTATATCAAGCCCCGCCCCATCCCTCGATGGCAGTCCTCGAGAAAATTTTGGAGTCAGGTGGAATGGAGGTTGGGTTGTGACACCTTGTCTCGGAACAAATGCTATAGAAACGAGCATGGAGGTAAAGTTGGTAAGGGGGATCGTAAGGATAAGGACCCCTTCAAATAATGTGGTCGCATGATAAAGCGGTCACGTCGAGTCACATGGAGTCGCGCCTTGATGGTCCGAAAGGGGTCCAAAATTTGAACGGCAGGCGATCACGTTTCTTTCCCAAACAAAAAGTGCACTGAGCGTGTTCTTAGTGCAGAAGTTAAAACGACCGGAGCGGGATGTTTTCAAATTGGTCTCTGCTCACACTTTTCACGACCCTTTCCCGCAGTCCGCCCCCTGCCGCCGACGTGTTTGCCAATCTGCCTTCACCATCGCTTTTTTCTGTTCAGACATCTTCTGTCATCATTACAACGCTCCGAGAATCAAGGGTTCGCTTTCGTTCGAAGTTGAATTTGAGATGAAGAAAATGTTCAAATTTCATGAAGTTCAGATCGAAGGTTTTTGAGAGTCATACAGTTTCAAAAACTTCACTGTTACACTCATTCTCGGTTCTCGAACAGCTTTTACACGACATTTGATTCATAATTTGCTCTTCATCCGTGGCATGCGTTCCTTACCAATTCCTTTGAAGAGGCGCCTACTTCTGTTCTCCGATTCTGTCACGAGACACTTGGGCCTAGTGGTCCTCCTTGTGCTAGGGACATGAATCACCGCCGCCCATTCGTGCAAAAAATATTCATAGAGAGGTCTGTCCGACCAGAAGTAATCTGCTGGTGCTCTTCAAGTTCCAGAGAGTCCGGTAGCTACCGCTCTCAAATAGTGGTCATCCCAAATCACATGACGACCTGCTCGCTGTTCTTTGGTTCCTTTCTCCGAATTGGACCGGCTGCTGTCGCTGATTCTTTGATCACTAGGACGTTAGAAGCACCGTACTGCACGTGCATGCGTAGATTGGAGATATCACGCGATTGGAAAATGAGGGCGGTCAAGGGAGTTTCTTTTTTGCTTTAAAGGATAAAGGATAAAGCATTTGCCGTTGATCAATCCCTTTTTGGGATGCGGCACGCATTCTACTTCCATTTGTACATTCGTAGTGGCGTTTGAATGCGATGTGGCCTATACAATGACTTGCGGGGGCCAGCCGATGTTCAAGTCAGTGTTTTTATCCTCCCAGACAAGTCTGGTACCAATTAACCGACCCCGGAGGGATGGAAGGCTTGGTTGGCCCGGGCGACTCACGACCCAGGATTTGATCCCCGGACCGCTCGCGTGGTAAGCGCGCCACTTGTCACTACACCACTTCCGCCCTTGCTTCGTATAACTTCGTATAAAAGGGTTTTTTTGGCGGTTTTAGTTGGCTCTAAAAACAAATATAACAGTATTAAGCTGTTCAGAGCGCCTCCTGCAGGAAAGCATATACATGCGTGCTAGGCGAAACAAGGTTGAAGACGTTGGCAAACTATGAGATAACAGAAATCACTTCGGATGGCTTAGCACCTGCATACGCTAGATGCTTGATAACCGTC